TTTCTTTGGTATTGGAATGAAAACTGACATTTTCCAGTCCCGTGGCCACTGCTGAATTTTCCAAATTTTCTGGCATGTTGAGTACAGCACTTTTATAGAATCATCTTTTAGGATTTGAAATAGCTCAGGTGGGATTCCATCACCTCCACTAGCTTTGATTCTAGTGATGTTCCTAAGGCCCACTTGATTTCACACTCCAGGATGTCTGGCTATAGATAACACCATCGTGGTTATCTGGATCATGAAGATCTTTTGGTATATCTCTTCTGTGTATTGCTGCCATCTCTTCTTAATATCTTCTGTGTATTTTATCTTCATACCATTTCTGTCCTTTATTGTGCCCATCTTTGCATGAAATATTCCCTTGGTATCTCTAGTTTACTTGAAGAGATCTCTAGTCTTTCCCATTCTATTTTGTCCTCTATTTCTTTGCAGTGATCACTGAGGAAGGCTTTCTTATCATTCTTTGCTATTCTTTGGAATGCTGCATTCAGATGGCTATACCTTTCCTCTTTTCCTTTGCCTTTTGCCTCTCTTTTTTCTCAGCTGTTTGTATGGCATCCTCAGACAACTGTTTTGCCTTTTTGCATTTCTTTTTCTCGAAGATAGTTTTGTTCACCACCTCCTGTACAATTTTATGACCCTCCGTCCATAGTTCTTCAGGCATTCTGTCTATCACATCTAATCCCTTGAATCTATTTGTCAGTTCAACTGAATAATCATTAGGGCTTTGATTTAGGTCCTACCTGATTGGTCTAGTGGCTTTCCTTACTTTCTTCAATTTAATTTTGCAATAAGGAGTTCATGATCTGAGCCACAGTCAGCTCCTGGTCTTATTTTTGCTGACTGTATAGAGGCTCTCCATCTTTGGCTGCAAAGATTATAATCAATCTGATTTTGGTACTGACCATCTGGTGATGTCCATGTGTAGAGTCATCTCTTATGTTGTTGGAAGATGAGGTATTAAAATAGATCACTGATGAGAACATACTTTATAGAACAGGAAATGCTACTTGGTGTTCTGTGGTGACCTAAATCGGAAAGAAATCTGAAATAGAGGGCATCTGTGCATATGGCTTTTTCACTTCGCAGTATAGCAGAAACTGACACAGCACTGTATAGCAACTATACTCCAATTAAAAAAAAAAAGTTTGTGGTTCAGTTGCTAAGTCCTGTCTGTTCCTTTCTAATCCCATGGACTGCATTATGCCAGGCTTCCCTGTCCTTCACTATCTCCCTGAGTTTGCTCAAACTCATGTCCATTGATTTGGCGATGCTATCCAACCATCTCATAATCTGTCTTCCTCTTCTCTTCTTGCCCTCAGTCTTTCACAGCACCAGGGTCTTTTCCAATGAGTCAGTTCTTCTTATCAGGTGGACAAAGTATTGGGAGCTTCAGCTTCAGTATCAGTCCTGCTGATGAATATTCAGGGTTGATTTCCTTTAGGACTGACTGGCTTGATCTTCTTGCTGTCCAAGGAACTCTGAAGTGTTCTCTCTAGCACCACAGTTTGAAAGCATCAATTTTCTATGTTCATCCTTCTTATGGTCTAACTCACATCTGTACATGACTACCAGAAAAAAAAAAAACATAGCTTTGACTAGACAGTCTTTTGTCAGTGAAGTGATGTCTCTGCTTTTTAATATGCCTTCTAGGTTTTTCATAGTTTTTATTCCAAAGAGATGCATCTTTTAATTTTATGGCTGCAGTCACGGTCTGCAGTGATTTTGCAGCCCAAGAAAATAAAAATCTGTTACTGTTTCCACCTTTTCCCTATCAATTTGCCATGGAGTTATGAGACCAGATGCATGATCTTAGTTTTCTGAATGTTGAGTTTTAAGCCAGCTTTTCCACTCCCTTTTTATACACATCAAGAGGCTTTTTAGTCCCTCTTTGCTTTCTACCATTAGAGTGGTATCATCTTCATATCTGAAGTTGTCAATATTTCTTCCGGTAATCTTGATTCCAGTTTGTGCTTCATCCAGCCTGGTATAAAATAAGTAATTCTTCTGTTCTTTCCCATATGCATAAATAGAACTTTTTCCCTTCATCTTCCTTCAAGATTTTTTCTTTTTAATTTTCCATTTTGAATATAATGTGCATAGCTGTAAATTTTAAAATATTTATCCTTTTTAGTGCTTCGTGAGCTTTCTGGATTTGTAGTTTGGTATATCGCATTAATTTACAAAACTTTTCAGTCATTGTTATTTCAAATATTTCTTCTGTTGCATTCCAGTCTTATCCTTCTTGTATCTCCATTACATATGTACTACACCTTTTGTAATTGCCACACAGTTCTTGGCTATTCTGTTATATTGTTTTTGTATTCATTTTTGTTTTTCTTTATCAGTTAGAAAAATTTCTATTGACATATCTCCAAGTTTCCTAATCCTTGCTTTGACCCTGGCCAGTCTACCTATGAGCCCATCTTAGGCATTCTTCATTTTGTTGTAGTGCTTTTGATTTTCAGTATTTCCTTTTAATAGTTGGATTTTCCCTTTCTCTGATTAAAATTTCCATGAATAATTTTGTTTCCCACTTTTTATATTCTCTTAGTATACTGTGCTAAGTCACTTCAGTCATGTCCAACTCTGTGCAAACCTATGGACTGTAGCCTGCCAGGGTCCTCTGCCCATGGGATTCTTCAGGCAAGAATACTGGAGTGGGTTGCCATACCCTTTTCCAGGGCATCTTCCTGATTCAGGGATTGAATCCATGTCTCATGTCTCCTGCATTGGCAGGTGGCTTCTTTACCACTAGTGCTGCCCAGAGGCCCATATTAATCATAATTATATAAAATTTCTTATCATATAATTCAAAATATCAACTATATCTAATTCTGGTTCTGTTGTTTGCTTTATCTCTTCATACTATGCTTTTTTTTCCCCCTTATTTATGTCTTACATTTCTTGTTTGAAGCTAGAAAACGTATATTGTGTGCATTAGGAAGTGACTTAAACAAATATTTAGTGGGAAACTTTATGTTTTCTGACAATGAGTTAGGATGTTCGGTGTAGCTGTCTTATTAGTAACTGTATTTTGTTATCTTCTCTGGTGTCTTTGTTTTTTCCTTGACGTTTCATATTAAATAGGGTCTGAGGCTTTCTGTTCTTTCAATAGTTACCTCCTGCTATTACGTACAGCTCCAGTGTGGTATTACTAAAATGTGTAGGAAGATGCAGCAGTCTACAATTTTATGATTAAGTCTCAGTCTCCTATTGAGACTGCGTGTCCTTGGGCTGTGACTTTCACAACTGCTTTTCAGCTTCCTCACTCCTCTTAGGTCAGCCAGGAAGGCTAGGAGGGACTACAGCTGACTATTTCTTTTCTTTTTTTAATATAAATTCATTTATTTTAATTGGAGGCTAATTACTTTACAATATTGTAGTGGTTTTGCCATACATTGACATGAATCCTCCATGGGTGTACATGTGTTCCCCATCCTGAACTCCCCTATTTCTAATTCTCCATGTGAGAACTACAGGGGCTGGAATTTTATAACCCTATTCCCTCACATTAACAGCTACAGGATACTGGAGTTTAGCGTATTCCTTCTTCTAGGTTATGCTGTGGTAAAACCATATAGCTTAAGCTCTGGGAAAATAGTTTCCTTTGAGAATGGGCCTCTGTTAAGGAGAATAGAATATTCTGGACATATTTTGAAATGGTTACTTTTCTTTCCCTTTTCCGGAACATGAGGACAATTTCCTCAAATTTATATCTGAGAACCTCATGGGGTTTCTGGAAGTAAAATTCATGAAAATGTAGAGGCGCCCTTAAGAATGGCCTCCTAGGAGATTTTATTTCTCAAGCTAGATCCACACTGAATCTTCAGAAATAACTCAATTACCCTTTAAATGCTTCTACCATGCTCCAACTCTGGCTTTTCCCCCCAATAAGCTGTGATTCTCTGTATCTGCCTATCTATTTAGTTTGGGGGATAGCTGTGCCCCATGTACTCAATCTTTGATGAATTTTAAAGAGTTGTTGATTTTCAGATTGTTCCATATTTTTTCTTGTCGTGTGGACAAGAATGACAATTTATAAGCTCTCTACATGTCAAACACGAAATCAGAAGTCTTCTAGGTTCCCCTTTGTTTATGACATGGCTACCTCTAAATCAGCTGTTTTTGACTTCTCGTAACATAATATTTACAACTTTTCGGGCATTCATTTTATTTGCCTTTGCTTAATATGAAATTTTTATGAGACATTTAACTCTTTAGATTATAGTCTCCTTAAAGGATGAAACTATAACTTATTTTATATCATTAATAACTGATGAATTTCATTACAATTTAGATTATGTTAAAGTTTCTCAGAATTCCTCTGTTTTCTTAATTCTAGTGAGAGACTGAAAGCCTTAGACAAAGGAATAATGAAACTTTTCTGTTATATTCCCTGTCTGTAGGAAAAGTAAGAGTTTGTCCAAATAATTTATATAAGGCCTGCTTTTCTACAGAAAGATTTCTGAGCCTTCGAAGTTTCTAAAAGCATCTCTAAACATGAATTTGTGTAATTCAGCTGTAGTTTGACTACTGAATAATAAGTACTTACTATATGCAAGTCACTGCTAACAGTTTTTTCCTTTATTATTTTTAGCTCTCTCAATAGCCTTAATGATTGGGTATATCTGTATTCCTATTTTACAGTTGTGGAAACTGAGACTTGGAAAAGTTATCTGACGTCTTCAAATCCAAACAGTGATACAGGATTCAAAAGATGTAGAATTCAAACCCAAGTTTATGTGACTATAGCCAGAATTCTTAATTACTCTGTTACATAGCCTCCTATGTACCTCTACTCTGCTACATAGCCACTCAATCTATTTCTCCTCTAAAAACCTCACCTTGTCAAATGAATCCCTCTCTATATACCTCCTAACTTCAAATTGTTAAATCTTATTAAAGAGAAATAAATTTTCCCTGATATTCCAAGTTGTCCAGTGGGTCTTGGGTGGTATTTTTCTTACCAAATTCTGGGAGGACAGTATACATACTATTGGTCAGCAGGTGGTTCTGCTGCAGTGGATTGAGGGTAGGAGCACCCCCAATGCCTGGCTGGCCAGCCAGGGATGCATGAGCAATTCCATGTTGGGGTCCAGGAGCAACAAGAGGAGACTGCATCTTATCCTTATCCCAGGAGGATTCACTTCCACCTGAAAAACATTCATATAAACAGATTGCAAGTTGACAACTTTCTAAGAGAAGGACTTATAAACTCCCTTTGTAAGGTTTTAATTATTAATATTACACCATAGAAAATTATTACTAAATAAAAGTGACTCATTTTTATCACGGTTTCAAAACTTTCAATAGCCTTGGATTTATGTTGACTCTGGGAAGACTAAACAACTCTCACTAATAATATAGGCTCATTTGCCTTACAGGTAGTCTAAACAAGTCTGGAAACATAATGAATAACTTTAGAAAGCATGTATATGTTGAAGGTCATTAACTGAACACTACTGCCTCCTCCTGCAACCTTCTAACATACATGCACTATATCTTAATGAAGAGCAGTTGCTATTCACTCAAAAAGAACACATTTATAAGAGCATGATGACATGCAAAAAATATACGGTAAGAAACAAAATGATCAGTTATTTTGTTCTGAGATACAGTCCTCAAAAAGCTAATCTCTTCATACACAGCAGAATTTTATGCAAAATAAACTGGATAAAACATAAAACCACAGCTCTCAACTTGAAACTGTGCTTTACTTTGATCATCCACAGTATAGAGTGAAGTAAAGTATGCATAAATGCAGACTACTATATTATCATATTAAATTATAGTGGCATAGCTATTACATCTGGCACTTAGCATATTGTGGGACAGAATCATTGCTTAAAAACATATAAGAAACAAAAATTATTTCCAGGGTGTCCTTTTAAGAGGAATACTTTAAACAGACTGGTCAGGGATTGAATTACAATCACTGCAGTAGCAGGCAATCTGGCTTTAGAAAACAAGGTGATCGTATAGGCAGCCCTATTGATTCACTTGATGTGTTTCATTACTTGAAAGTTCCACGCTTCTGCTCCTATTCCCATACCAGAATTGTGACATTAGGATCTCTACTTGGCTGACTCTGTCCGATCTGCTGCCCAAAACATACACCCTGTTGTGTGAAGAAAGTTAGGCCTGGAAATCTTTCACCTACTGGTCTAAGAAGAAAAGTAAAGAGAAATCAAGGCGTTCACATCCTTAACATTAAACATTGTAACTTTTTCACTTCTTTGAGTTCCCTCAAACATCTTTGCCATTTTGCTTCAGATATTATATAAAAGAGACACAGATGTGCAGAACAGACTTTGGGACTCTGTGGGAGAAGGCGAGGGTGGGATGTATCGAGAGAACAGCATCGAAACATGTATATTATCTATGGTGAAACACCAGCCCAGGTTGGATGCATGAAACAAGTGCTTGGGCCTGGTGCACTGGGAAGACCCAGAGGGATTGGGTAGAGAGGGAGGTGGGAGGGGGGACCGGGATGGGGAATACATGTAAATCCTTGGCTGATTCATGTCAATGTATGACAAAACCCACTACAATATTGTAAAGTAATTAGCCTCCAACTAATAAAAATAAATGAACAAAAAGAAAAAAAAATAAAAGTATAATGGCTATATAGTAGTCTACTAAGTTAATGTAATAGAATTTATTAAAAATTGGGTTTTCTTTTAAATTTGTCGCTATTATATTAACAGCATTCATTTGAATATTTTCTTAGACTCAAACAACGTCCTAGAGTGGGATTTCTGGGTCAAAGGAAATGAATGTTTTTTATTTATAAAATATTATTTATTTTATACTTCTTTCTAGTATCAAATTTATAAAAATCAGCTTTTAGAGTTTCACACTTTCTAGGGAAATGTTTTTAAGGCAAATTGGGGTTCTCCCTGAAGATTCTAAATTTATTTAAGCAAACTGCTAAATCTCTGAGAGGTTTTTGTTCATTTTTTTGGTTTGTTTTGTTTTTCAACTATTCTACCTATCCATTTACTCTTTCCCCAGATCTGGGATTCAATCGCTTTTGCAGGACTCTTTGAAGCCCTCTTGAGTCCAATTTTTAATCCAAAAGTGGTAGTCTTGGCTAACCTCCAACTAGGTAAGTTCCAGAGAAGGAAGTACCAGATTCCCCATCAACATATATAAAGGCTGAGGGGTACCAGGTCATGATTATAAAGACAAAGTTTTTCAAATCAAATGGGGAAGATATAAGTAGCTAATTGTTCAGTTTCTGATTTAAGTAGCTAATTGTTCAGTTTCTGATTTAAGCCATTCAGTTAATATGCATGGAAGCTTAAAAGGTAGGAAATTTGGTTGAATTTGATTGACTGGCTTAAAGGACCAGAAATCATTCCCTTGATCATGTTAAGGTTTAGTATGAAAACATGCATTACACTTATGATTACTCCAGTTGGTTTCTCTTTCATCCAGATGTTTGCTGTTGTATAGTCACTGCCTAAGAGCAATGAGGTATTACTTTTTTTATTACTATTAATTTATTTATTTTAATTGGAGGCTAATTACTTTACAATATTGTAGTGATTTTTGCCATACATTGACATGAATCAGCTATGGGTGTACATGTGTTCCCCATCCTGAAACGCCCTCCCACCTCCCTCCCCATCCCATCCCTCTGGGTCATCCCAGTGCACCAGCCCTGAGCACCCTGTCTCACGCGTCGAACCTGGACTGGCGATCTATTTCACATATGGTAATATACATGTTTCAGTGCTATTCTCTCAAGTCATCCCACCCTTGCCTTCTCCCACAGAGTCCAAAATTTTGTTCTTTACATCTGAGTGTCTTTTGCTGTCTCACATATAGGGTCATTGTTACCATCTTTCTAAATTCCATATATATGCATTAATATAGCAGTGAGATATCTCATGGTTGGTGCATTGACATAATTTAGCATTCACAAATTTAAAATTCCAATTAAAATCAATATGATATTGTTGTGCTGTAGTGAACAGAAATGGTGGAGGAGAATGAGGATAGTATCTTAATAAATGATGAAAGTAACCACATTGCAACACTGAGATTCTTTATAGTAACATTGGGCCAATAAATATGATTAATACCAGAAAATGCAAAATTTTGAAAGATCAATTGCTGAGCAAAACACAGAACCACTCCATCATTTTAGCACTATGTCCAAAATATGAATTACCTCACCATTACAGAACTGTAATTTGTTAAGTGGTGAACAATACATTGAATGTATGATAGAACCCACTGCAATGTTGCAAAGTAATTAGCCTCCAACTAATAAAAATAAATGAAAAATAAAGAGAGATACATTTAGAAGACACTAATATTATACCTTTGATATTAACGTGGTATTGTGCCATCACAACAGCAACAGCATATAACAATACTAGAACTGAGACTGTCAATATTTATTTTATAAAGTGAAAATCCTTTAGTCAAATTTCAATAACAAATGTACATTAGGTATTAGTTTAATATTTTATATATTATATATTCCAAATAGCTTGAATATAAATGATTTTTAAACTGCATAAAAAGATCCCAGGTGTTTTAGTGTCTGCTTTGATGAAAGCTTTAGATGAACTTTTCCCAACAACTCTCATCTTTTTAACTACTGTGTTAAAAATAGTACAGGGAGGCTGGTTACCAGGTATGCCCATCTTTGCCAAGTATAAATATATGAAATTATCCTGCATTCTTAAGATAACTATATATAAAGTGAGTGAGAGCAGAGTATGGGACATCCTTGATGTTTGCATAAGAAGCTCTGGACACATTTTTGTCTTTTGACCTAAAACACTTACCATTTTAAAGTCTATACAAATTGACATATGACTCAGTATTGAGGCTTCGGTAGCCTCAAACTTTATATTTTCCTATGCCTTTGTGCCAATCTGTAATAACATTCACTGAACTTAAAGTTAACAAAATCTTTTTACCAATCTAATCTAGACTCAACCTTTTTTGTTACTATTATGTGACAGGCTTGGATATTCATCTTTTTTTCTATCTTATAATACATATTATATATACATATATATGTACATAAACATACATACATACATGTTATATATATACATATATATGTATGTAATATATATTATATATATGTATGTATGTGTATATATATATATATATGTTTGCTAAGGCTGCCAAAACAAAATATATACTATAGACTGAATGTTTGTGACTCCCAAAATTCATATATTAAGTACATATTCCTGATGCGATGGTATTTTACGATGGGCCCTTTAGGAGGTGATGAGGTCATGAATGGGATAAGTGTCTTTATAAAGGAAATCCCAAAGAATTTCTGAGTCTCCTTATACCATGTGACAACACAGCAATAATATGGTTCTCTGTGAACTAGGAACTGGGTCCTCATCAGATACTAAAAGGGCTATTATATTGATCTTGGTCTTAAAGCCTCCAGAATTGTAAGAAATAAATTCCTGTTGTTTGTAAGTCACCAACTCCATGGCATTTCTGTTATAGCAGGCCAAATGAACTAAGATACACCATAGAATGCATAGATTAAACAACCAAAATTATTTTTATTAGAGTTCTAGAGGCTAGAAGTCCAAACTCAAGGTGTCAGTAGATTTGGTTTCTCCTGAGGCTTCTCTTCTCCCTGTGTCCTTACATGGTCTTTCTTCTGTGTGTTCAAATTTCATCTTCTTATAAGGATACCATTCAGATTGGATAAGGGGACACTCTAAGAGTTTCATTTTAACATAATCACCATTTTAAAGATGTTATTTCCATATATGGGTACATTCTGAAGTACTGGGTGCCTTCAACATATGAATTTTGGATGCATACAATTCAAGCAGTAATCCTTGATTATGTACTGTTTGCTGACTCAGATAATATTAGCTTTATGAAGGAATACCTCTAGTAAAGAGAATAAAAACTGGATAACATTTCAACAAGGCAAGTCTAAGAAACAAAGCATGCAGTAGGTTAGGGCAAACAGAGAAGTCTCATCAAAGGTTCACCTTTACTTCAAGGAACTTCATATCAGGTATAAAACTAATACAGCACAGTCCTCAGTAGAGAAAGATAATCTATAAAACACAGAAAATTCTTAAGAATTGAATAAATGACTTAAGCTTTTCCATATCATCAAATTATTACTACTTCAGCTCAATGT